TCTGCGTTTGGGATGGTCTGATCAGGGAATTCGTCAGTATCAAGGTTTACCTCTCTTTCAAGGGCTTGTAGATCTTGGTATACAGCAGCAGGGAGCGTGAGCAGACTTTTTTTGGTAAGGTGTATTTTTTTGTGTTTTTTATACTCCTTTAGCCTGCGAGTTTTTAGAGCTAAAATCACTAAAATCGATAACATTTTTTTTTATATATCAGAAATCGATACCCAGGAACACGTTCTAGAGGCGGTGTTTTTTTCTTTTTTAAACCGGCCTCTAGGAGCCCAAGAACTATAATTTGTTTTCTTGACAGAGCGAAGCGATTTAAAACTCAAGAAATATAATTTGCTTCCTTGATAGAGTGGAACGATTTAAAACCTAAAAAAATATAATTTGCTTTCTTGACAGAGTGGAGCAATTTAAAACTTAAGAAATATAATTTGCTTCCTTGATTAAAAAAAATGCTTAAAACCTTAAAATTTATAATGTGTTTTCTTAATAGAGCAGAGCGATTTAAAACTTAAGATATATAATTTGTTTCCTTAATAAAAAAAAACCGCTCGATACATAGCATCATAAATGTTATCAGGAAATGCTATCAATATACGTTGCGTAATTGCTATTGAGTATGCTATATACATGATATCTGGTTATGCTATGTCTCGAAGAGATGCCCCTAAAGGGCCCGATTAATGCTACCAAATATGTATGCTTATATCACGTAAATGCTATCGATTATACTATCATGAATAAGCTATCAGGCTATGTTATCAAATATATGTCGCGTAATTGTTATCAAATACACTATCGAGTGTGTTACATTTATGCCTTCGAGTATGTCATGTAAATGCTATCGACTATACCATCGAGTATGCTATCATGTATATTGGCTTCGAGCAATTACTGCAAGAAAGTGGGTGAAGAAGCAGTGTTCTTGCTAAGCTGGCGAGAATAAAACTGCAAAACATAAAACCTTTTTTCTCTCTAGTTTGGAAAAAGAAAGTAGTTAACCTAATTAAGATCTGGTTTTGAGTAGGTACTGTGAAGGTGGGATATAACAAATTAGTTAATATTCATTATTATTATACATATCCAGATACGAACTTGTGAGTGGACAGGATATATAAGTGAAATAAATATTTTTTATTTAAACAAAAGATCTGAATAATTAATATATAATAAAAAACACTGGAAACATGGTAGGTAAATGCCCAGGATGTGGATGGAGCCCTAAAACCGGGAAAACAAGAGATCTTAATAAGCATATGGATCTAACACGAAATAGACCATGTCAAGCTTTACTGCAACTATCTCGTAATACTCAGCCTATACCACAAGTAACTGTACTGGATTCCAATGCTAGAAAATCAGGTGAGTCTGTTAAACAATGGGGATCGAGATTACGAAAAAGACTAAAAGAAGTGATTTATCAAGATTACCCTCAACCACAAAATTTATTTCAATGCAAACGTCTTTATGATCAATTATTGCAAGTTGATCCAGAGGCATATGTTAATGTCTCAGAAACACCTTTAATGGAAGAAGAAAAACGTGAAGAGCAAGAATTCTTTGATGAACCTGAAATTGAAGAAGCAAATTTTCAGCATGAGCCATCTCCAATGGTACAGCCAGAAATCGATCCTGAAGCTGGTCCAGGCCCTTGAACCCAAGCTTATCGTGAAGCCAGACTTACTAACTCAGAAGAAATAGTAACTCAACAAACCATGCCATCAGATAATATAGAATTGCAACCTGTTCAAGAATTGCTCAATTGCAAAGATGGATTTCTAGATTTAGATATAGAAGTGCCTTGGCCAGACCCATTTCCCAATGACGAAGAACATCGCGTAATATGGCAAAATGGAATTCAGACTGCAAAGGATATGTTCAAGGTAGATGGAGCTGAATATGCTTTCTCAACTTGGTTTGCAGAAGCTAAAGAGATAGATTTAGCCAGTATAATATTAGGAGCAGAAAATGAAGATGAAGCTATACAGGAGGTATTTTTACAATGCTTATATCGGAATTATTCAGAAGAAGAAATCAATGAGACTATAAAATTAGCAGTAGATGCTTATAGAGCATTAGAAAATGAAGATGAAGCTATACAGGGGGTATTTTTACAATGCTTATATCGTAATTATTCAGAAAAAGAAATCAATGAAACTATAAAATTGGCAGTAGATAAAGGATATAAAAACTGGTTAAAAAAAGTGGAATATCAAATAGAATCAAGAAAATTCGAAGCTGGGATGACCGAAGAACGAGCACAAAAAATATTAGATACAATTGATAATCATGAGTATTTAATAAGAGTAAAATTCATTCGAGAGGATACAGTAATATCAGATAAGGGAACAAAAAAAGGCTTTAAAATTATTGATAAATATGAACCTATTTGTGAATCAAAAAAGGCAGGTGGAAAATACGTCAGGGGTGGACCAAACGTTATACTTACAAAGAAAACGAAACCAGGATTTTGGGTAGGAATAGATGAAAAATTTTTGGTTAGAGAAGTCAGTGAGCAATCTGAGGTAGACAAACTTGATAGTAATGCGGTAGTCTATGGATTATATCGAATCCGAAAGCCAGATGTTAATCAATTAATGCCTATGAAAGATGGAGCACTTAACTGTGTAGCTGAACGAGTAATAGAGCATTTTGATCAAGCCAAAAGAGGACATGGACTCACAGAAATTCGTCGGCAAAAAATAAATGATTGGGAGAAAAAAATGCGCATTCCAGGTGCTCGAGTACAAGATGTAGCAGAGTTAGAAAAAATTCTTAAACGACCGATTAAATTACTTGATATAACTCATGGTACTATATTTAATAGTGGAAAGTATCGATCAGGTAAGTATGAAGAAATCGGAATGGTAGTTCATAATGGCCATGCATTTCCAAGAAACCAGCACTTCCCAAGAGATCGAATGGTCGAATATTACAAGGGTGATACTTGGGAAGCTATCAACAATGCTCTCCAGGGTCCTCAAGCAATTTGGCTTATGGGAGTGGGAAGTGAGAACCAAACAATATCACAATTTGTTCTAGAAGATGGTCGCACATTTAGAACCTGGAAAAAGCACACTGAAATTGTAGAAACATGCAAACAATTAATTGATGATGCAATAGATTGGCAATATCAAGAAGGAATAATTGATAAGGAAAAGAAATTGATTCTTTCAGAATCTCTCAAAGTTGTTGATTTAGCAGAGCAGGTATTTGGTGCAAACCATGCTGGAAGCCGACTTGCTAATGAAATCAATGAATGGCATCCAATATCTGGAAAAGTAAATGAAAATATAAGACAAGCCTGTGTCGAGCATGGGCATGGTGGACGCTGGAATGCACCCGATTATCACGTCAATGATGTCGTATGTATCGATATGAAAGAATGTTATCCAGCAAGTATGCGAGGTCAAGGAGAATGTACACCATGGTTCAATAGGTTCGGACATCCAACACACCACCTTGTTCGAGTTGCGGTAAATGGAGAATTGCCGGAGGATGATATCACTGGATTTGCGCAGGTAAGATCTTTTAAATTTGCATCAAATATACGTTCAGTGATTCCCGTCTGGTATGGAAAACATTTTGCGTGTCGAAGTGGAGAAGGATGTGGGAAAGAAAAAGGATGGGCACCTATTGTACTTCTACGATATCTTCTTGAGGTTGGTATTCTAGAAAGTGTAACTATTGGAGAGGCAATAATTTCTCTTACTAAACAGACCAAAGTATGGCTACCTAGAAATCGAGATATTAGTTGTGCAATTATAGGAAAGTTCACGCAAGGTGGTAAGATTGACGAGAAACGTCTCACACATAGACTTGTAATAGATGAAGGTGAACTCGATTTCTTGATCAAAGATTGTACTGATGCCGGAACTTTTGCAGGAAGAGAAAAATGTCCACTCGGATTCATACTTACATATTACGAGGGACATCAACCTCAATATACACACTTGCGGGCCTCAATGTTAGCATATGCGCATATTAATTTATTAGAAATGCTTCGGAGATTCGATCCTAATGAAGTAGTAAGGATTGCTACAGATTCTATATATGTACGAAAAGAGGCTTTATATAAAATCGAAAATATACCGGCATTCTTCAAGCAAGTTGAGGTAAAGTCGGATCCGATTTTATGTTCACACTATCCTTCTTGTGCAATGTGTAGCGATCCAGAAGAATTGTTTATATTTTCAAAATCAGAATATGCAAAATGGATTAAAGAGTTTCTAAAAATAAAAAGGCCTCTAGTAAAATATGAATGCAAAAGACATAAACCATTTATTTGTAGATTTTGCTTTGCGGGATGGTTTTATAGACCAGACTCCTATGCTCTTTCACATCAACCAGAAGAACAAGAAATCCGAGAAATTCAACCTGGTCAATGGCGTGACAAGGGCGAAAAGATATATGGTCCAAATGCGGACATTGTATACTGGCCAAAAGATAGACACCGTGAATCGATCAAAGATATTCCTGATAGTACAGCGCCCTCGATTCATGATCCTATTACAAGATATCGAAATTCATATCTCAATGGAGGAGGCGGATCTGGTAAAACAACACGTGGAATTCGAGTCTATCAAAGTGTAGGTATGATTGTCTTTACACATACGAATGCATTAGCTAAAGATTTTCGAGATAAACGTAATGTAAGAGCCCAAACCTGGCATAGTTTCTTTAGATGGAATGGCGTAGGAGAGTGGACACCTGAACGTATGGGAGAGAAGAAATTTCCACGAGTTGTTATTTGGGATGAGGTATGTACAGTTCCCAAGCATATTCTTGAAATGTTCATTAATTATTTATTAGAACATAAATGCCAGGTAATTTGTTGCGGTGACGATGCACAACCTCCGCCATTCTTCGGAGAAATGCCACATAATTGGTTAAAAGAGCATGCTGATTATTACGAAGAAGTTCTAACCGATTATCGTGCAAAATGTCCTAAGTTACGTGAACTTAAAAAAGCTATGCGTCGCAAAAATAATCGAATACAATCAAAATTATTTCGAGGAATTCTCCCGACTATAGAAAAATGGGAATGTCTCGAAAAGGAATGGACTCCCTCAGATCGCATATTATCAGCACATCGCCTATCTCGAAGAATTGCATCGCAAAAATGCCTTGAACTCCATCGTATTAAGTATCCAGATACACCAGTTCCATTAATATATAGGCCGAGAGATGGACGTAAACAAAACTGCCTTATCCAAATTCCCGGTTCATCCGAGAAACAAGAACTAGTAAAAAATGATATAGTATATTTACCGTTGAATACGCTTCCTGAAAATTTTATAAAAGATATATTAACCGAAGAAAAAATACTTGATTGGGATTTGGGATATGCTATGACTGTGCATACTAGCCAAGGGATGACGCTTGAAGCTCCACAACGAGTTTGGGTTATCGATGAACATTTGGCGTGGGATAATCTAATATATCTCGCAGTTGGTCGTGTAGAATATTTGAGCCAGCTTATTCGGGTTGAAGGTCCCCCATTACCTCCTGAGATTGAGGAAGCAAAAAATAAGAAAGCAATCGAATGTTCATTGAGGTCATTTATTTCTGGAAAACTCGTAGGATATATGGATCAAGATAAGAAAAAAGGTCGCGAATTCGATTTATCTGTTGACTATATCCTTACATTAAAAGATTTGCAGAAAGATAAATGCGCACTATGCCTTATTGAGATGGAATGGGGTTGGTATGATGCATATAATCAGGATCAATGGACAGTTGATCGAATTGATAACCAAGTAGGACATATCAAAGGTAATGTACGTCTTGTCTGTCTTGAATGCAATCGGAATCATAGAGTCTAGCCCACTCAATGAACCAATACAAAGACAGACACAGAGTGTCCTGATTCACAGACAATTCTTATAATAAATTTTTTTCTTTTTAATAATAATAAATATCCAATTCAGAAATTTATAGGTATGACAACGGATAACTGGCAACAAGTAATAAATTGGTAGGTGTTAGACACCGCACGTTTCGTGTAGACGTATGATTTAAATAGCGGTAAAAGCTTACAAAAAATCTGGTTATTTTATCAGTGCATTTAATTCATATGATACTGCATATAGTTGTGAAATTCCGGAAGAATAGATGCTAAAATAAGCAATCGATAACGTGTTCTAACCATTCTTCTTCATCAAATTCATAATCAGGGATATCTTTTATTTCGATATCAATATCTCTTAAAAAGTGTATACAGTCATCTATAAGATAATGTATATCTTTTAAAAAATTATTATACAGTATAGGGGGTTTATAAAATGATAACGAATGAAGTGAAATGAAAATATTATCGACTTGGGAATAAATAGATTTAAGTTGATTTTTTATACCAATTCCACATACATTATTCCAGCTTTCATTACAAATATTAAAACGAAATTCATATAATTTTATGAGAGCCCGAAATCCTTCTGTACGCCAGGTATGATTGACTGCCAGTGCTGTGAATAGATCCTCGTCATTAGAAAAATGAAAAAGTATAATTTCCAAAATTTCAGGTATAGATAAAGCACGTGTTACAATAGAATTAGCGTTAATATCCATGTTTCTATATAACAATTAAATAAAAAATCCTAATTAATAAAATTCACACGTTTGAGGATACACAACATGCATACATATAACCCACTTACACTTCCAGAGATTAT